GAAAGGAAAGGAAAGGAAAGGAAAGGAAAGGAAAGGAAAGGAAAGGAAAGGAGAAAAGAAAAGTAGGATGGCAAGGAAGTTAGAGAACGTCAAATAATGCTTTACAGGTTGTAATTGGGCTCCTGCGCATCAGGTTGGGAAACTGGGTCCTAAAATATTATCGTGAAGTTACCCAGTCTTCCAACTGATATATTACCCTTCCTGCATGTGAAGAAGTTGGTGCCATTCCATAGAAGCTTTATGCCATCATAAATGTATTAGTCTTATACTAATAACTGCAAGTTCTGGATCCTCTGGTCATTTGGAGATCTCACTGCATTAACCCCAGTGAAAGTAGATACCCCTTGATAATCTTTAAATCAAATATTGCCCTTTGGTATCACTTAACAAGATGAGCAATGCAAACAAAAGTAAGAATAATCTGTTTATTTGCTACAAGGCAGATGCAAAACAGAAAAAAGAGCTGTCTTCAAAGAAAGTGGAAATGTTTTTTCTAGGTGGTATCTGTGATTTTTAACGGCTCCCTGAAGGGCGGAAATGCAGAACTTTTTTTGACATGGAACAAATGAAACAATTAACAGTTCAGCCATTTCTGTTGAATGACTGCTACATTTTAAATGTTTAGGTTTTGTCACTTGGATTTTGGCAGCACGAACTTTTGGAGGGCTGCAAAAATGGAGCCCATATTTTGTCCTGCCCTGTTTTAGAGGTCCAAGAACCCCAAGGGGTGGGGACAGGGAAATTGAAAGCATGATATACCAAAGGACACATGAGCAAAGAGTTGTTTATGTCCTGGTACTCTAGAACAGTGTTTCTCAACCTCAGCAACTTTAAGACATGTGGACTTCAACTCCCAGAATTCCAAATCTAAAATCTCCAAACCTAAAATCAGCTAGGTACAAGCTTTCTTTCAGAAATTATCAGTCTTATTTTATATTCCAAGTTAGTTAGGGTAGTATTCCAGTATGGCATTGTTTTTACTGATTTTAAAACTAACCCCCCCCCCCCCGTTGTATAGGACTATTAATTTTACAATTGTTTTAAGCTACAGAAAAAATCAAGAACCCTTTATGCTTACAGTCTCCTAATTTATAGAGTCCTTATACTTAGTATTTCCTATAATACAACAATTTGTATAACTGTTAGCATTAAAAAAGGTTATTGGGCAATTTAAAGCAAATTACCCTGCTTACATTATTTGATACTTATTTTTTCACACAGAGGCATACACTTATTCCAGGTAGGGTTGATGTTTTTTAAACAGATCTACCACCACTAAGCATGACTTTGAATAGGAGCCTTATATTCAGTTTTTGGGTCCTTAAGTACTGCACTGGACTATATGAGTTCTCTTACATCAGCTGTTATCATTCCTTGGAATCATGCTGCTGCAGAAAGCAAATCCCATGATCCCAGAAAAAGACAAAGCTGCTTTCATAAGGTGCAGACAACTACAGCAGTTAGTTTTTTGCGTGCTCCAATCTGTAAAAATTGAATTTTGCAAATCCAGTCTGAAGCTCTGCACAGTCCTATTAAATATCCTTTGAGTCCTTGACCTTGGGTTGAAAACAGCCACAAAAATCTTGTTATTCCATATTTACCTCCTGCCAAATCAGCAAAGCTTGTGAAATTGTTAGCTAAATCACACAGATTAGTGAAATGACTTTTCTAAGGAATAATGAAGATATGGGTTAACAACGAGATGTGGTGCTGGCTACAAGCTTAGCTAACTTCAAAAAAAGGTTGGACAACTTCAGGAAAGTCATGGGAAGCAATGGCTATTAGTCTTGATGGCAATGTAACTGCCTCTGAAAGCCATCTGCTGGGAGACTAATGGACTTCCTTGTGCAGTTGATTGGCCACTCTGAGAACAGACTGATGGATGACATGGGTCAGAGATCCTATCCAGCAGGGCACTGCTTATATTCTTAACTGTCTGAATGGATTATAAAAATAAAATTAATTATGTGATAATATTCCCAATATTCATATAACAGTCTTCCTCAACCTGGTGCTATAATTCCCAGACCTCAAGTGACTATGTGTTGTTGGGACTTGTAGACACTATACTCACCAACAGCTGGAGGGCCCCAGGCTAGAAAAGTCCAGCCTTAAATATAGCACTGAGAGAGCTACAGCTGTACATTTTGGTATATTTTGTTATATCTGCTATAAACCGTAATACATTAGTATTTAGCTTCTCTGCATTGTTCCACATTGCAAAATTTGTGAGAGAAGGAATAAAACGAATATCTTTACCTCAAAGAATTGAAGACTGCCAAGATAGGTCTTCATCTGCAGATCAAAGCAAAGAGATGGAAAGACACTTCTGTAAAGAAATGAATATAAGATCTTTTTAAAAAGGATTTATATAGAAATGGACACAAAAGAATGCAGCTTTGATCATGCAGTCAAGGTTCCCATCCTCACACATACCCCCAAGATGCCTTTGGAAAATGGATTATCAGTAACTCAGCAACCTACAAGTATGAGATTCTTTCCACATTTACATGTAGTAGCTACTTATCAAAAACTCAAACATCCAGTTTTTACAAAAATGTATCCAGAAAAGAGAAATCGCATATATCAGCAAGGACTATTCCATCATGCATTTAAGATCTGAAGCCAGGATCATCCTAGCAGCCTAGATGTTGTAACTTGATTCACACAAGACACTAAGGCAAATTTTGTTGAATAAATTCATGGTATATATTAAGCCATAACCCGACAGCTGGCTTATATATCTTAAGAGGCTAAGCTGAAACCAAGTTCCCCTAGGCATCACAGTCTTTGGGTCTGTGAAAAACTCTTTTGATGGGACAATGGTAGGGCAAAATACTTTTTGCCTGAGTGTGCAAAACTACTGACCCATGTGAATCAATTTTACCCACAAAAAATATGAGAACCATGACACCAAGAAAAGGCTTGTCAGAACAAGTGCTAGTTGAAGTTAAGCACAGAATGGTAATCCATCTTTTGTTATACTAATATAGCCTGCAGATTAACAGGTCAATCAACTTCTCCCCATCTTGCAAATACCAGATTCTGATCACCAGATTCAGACAGCCCCAGGTGGCACCTAGGAAGCTTCACCATACTTCAGAGCTTGTGAGTCATGGCTGACTGAAGACATCTTCACGATGACAACCACTGTGAAGAATTAAAGACTGATGAGTAGACCAGTCCTTTGCATTTCTCCAGAGAAGGAGAGATTGGGAGATCCATGAGTGATTTGAATGACAGCTTCTTGCGAGGAGATGTAAAACAGTGGTCTCCTGCAGGTTTGAGCACCAAGAGCTGAGGTAGAAGACATCTTTGCTCTCAGCAATGGCAGAGCCTTTCATACGGACACTAAGCCAGCCAAACTCACTTCCTAATCACTTTTTGGAAATGTTCAATTTAACCACCTTATGGATATTAGAGACCTTCAAACTGGCGAGCTTAATTTGACACCTGGTGAATTTTACCTTCTTCTTTGGATAAGAAATTTTAAATAGAATTGCATATTTAAAATAATATACAATTGTTTATACAAAAAGCAAAAAAAAAAAAAGATTTTGATTTAAGAAAGTTTTAAATGGATTGGGAGACCAAAGAAATTTGGAATATTGGTTATTTTTGCTGTAAGATTTGAAAAAACAAGTATATAATTGAATAATATACTTGTGGGAAACAACTGAAACGGAACTAAATCCATATTGGGAACTGAGGCTTGATGAAGGTTGCAAATGGACGCTAGGGGGAACTAAAGGGCCAGGCAGAAAAGAGTTAAAATGGCTAAGCCAGCTATAACTCTTTCTTATCTTGAAGAGTTTTTTGAAATATGGACTGCAATATTAATAACTAATATCTCAGAAAGGATACAGATTTCAGTGAATAAACTTTTAGAAGACAATGAGGAAAACTTTAAAAAACTTTTGCCTGACATAGACATTATAGACTTTGAAGACAACAAAATTGAGATGACCAGAATGGGGATACAGAAGACAAATCAAGAAAAGGATCTGGACATGGAACAGCTGCCACAAGAAATCCTGGGCGATGCCTCTTCATGGCATTTACAAAGTAGGTCGGTGAAAGCTTTGAAGACTCCTTTTAATATCAAAGAGTGATGAAAAATCAAATCCTGCAATGCCATAGGAATGATTTAAAGGTCAAGATTGTGCAGAGCAAAAAGAAGGAATATGAAGTTGGACTATTTGATCAGGGATAAACTATTTGTTTGATATTTCTGGCAACCCCTAATGGACTTTTTGCTGAACTAGGATTGAAAAAATGATTTCTGGATTGCATCTAGATAAAAGTTAGACTATGAGGAGAAGAGTTTTTTTATTTGTAACTTTAAACGAAGGCGAAAAGTTAGTATATTAGCTTATACTCGGTGTGATGAAGGTTGGAAGCCACTTCTTTAATATTGTCTTCGTTGCCTTTTTCTTTTCTCTTTGTTCCCTTCGGAACTTTGATTTCTTTTTTCTTTTAGTTTAGTTTGTATTCGTTTTTACTATGTTTATTAAAAATGTCAATAAAATTATTAATAGAAAAAAAGAATGCCAAGTCAAGATGACAATCCATGATCACATAATCACTTTAGCATGCTTCACAGTATACATGTATTTATATGTGAAAGACTATGCCAGATTAGCTTTATAAATCTTCTTGGTGAGGGAGGCTAAACTGATGAAAAGTTTATTATTGGAGGCAGTCTACTCTCAGGATATGCATGTCACTTGAGCCTCTTGGCTAATCATACTTTCTATGGTCTAATAATCTGCTTAATCCTTTCAATCAAAAGCAAATGTGCTTGAGTGGTACATGATACAATTAAATCAATCACCATCTAAAGCCACCACCTTTTGATCAACCACTCCCAGTGTTCTCAAGGGGTGTGCCAATTTCAGGGCAAAACAAGGGTCATAGACCAAGACTCAGGACGTGTGAAGGATGGCAATGATTCTCCAAAAGGACCAAGGCTTTTGTCCCTTGAGAAGAGGTGAAGACACTCCACAGCTGCAATTTCTAGCACAGAGCGATCTCAGATGTTACATAAAGTGCAGAAAACCCACAAGTGGCTCTTTTCACAGAGGTAGCTATTACTGTATCTCTCTCTGCATGCTGAATGCAGGAGAACTGGCATTCAAACTTCAGCTACAGTGAGCCCTTCCCTGCAGGCAAGTTGAAGTGCTTTCCACCCATCCTCAAGCTGGCAGAAAACAACCCCAGCATGAAATTTGTCTCCATTGCTGATCCCTAGCCTGCCTCAATGGTCTCTATTCACTGCCAATCACTTGACTTTCCTCCAAAATAATGGGTGACAGAATTTTACTTCAGGCTGCCCCTTGTTATCTCGGTGCATCCAATTTCTCTCCTTACAACTCAGGCCATCTGCCTTACAACTCAGCAGGGAAGAAAGAACCAATTGATGACATTTTTTTGCAACTTCCATCTCCTCCTTTAACACACCTTTAATGCTCTTGTTGTGCAACAAGCATTTTCTGCTTTGATTATTTTTAAAGGCAGCTTTGTCATTCATCTTAATATTCTTTGGCATACGCTGTTCCAAGTCCTTTTTCTCTTGGGGGAGGGGGCTTTTAGGGAATTCCTGCATATCTTCAGCCAATGGCTAGCACATTACCAAAGATCACATTACCAATGGCTAGCACATTACCAAAGTTTGGTTCCTATGCTTTTTAACATGTTTAAAAATGTTCTGGAGTTAGGGGTGAGCAGTGGCCATGTTCCTTTTTATTCGCCTTTTTAAAATCAGGACTTCCATATTTTGAAAGCAGCGCTCTTGTCTCTGTGCATCTGACTTTGCTCATTAGCCACTCTAGCATGCTGTGAATTTCATGGCACTACATTCCAGCTGAGCTTTTAGGGCTGTACCTTTGAGTTATTTTCAAGTGTTCTGAAGAAACTTGATCCTGCTTTTTAACTTTCTTTTTACCAATCCTTTTTGAAAGGTCATATTTCTGAAGTCAAATATGAACTATTCTGGCAATCACCCACTTACATGGATGTTAGTACCAGGGTCACTGTTTCCAACAGATCAGAAATCATTTGATCCTAAACATATTTAAGAAGAAGCACAGAGCTGTGTCCTTTCTATCTGGCTCCCTTGCTAGCTGCTGTGGGCTTTAAGAATATCTAAAAATTTGGTCCCTTTGTCATGTCCAGATCATGCTTTCCCCCAATCTATATGAAGATGATTGAAACTGTCCATTACTATTATCCCAATATGGCCTGCTTATTAATTATTGTTATCCCCAGTTTCCCCTGTTATTTCAATAATTCCAATGCTACAAGCAATAATCGGAAAGCAAGTGGAAGACAGAGTCTAACTGATTCTACTGAGGATAAACAGCTGGTCTATCATTTTAATGCTAGAGGCAAAATAAGGATGTAGGGAAAGAAAAGCAAGAATCTGTGATCCTCCAGCTGTTTCTGGCTACAATTCCCAGTAACCTCAGCCAGCATGCTAACAGTGAGGAAGCTAGAAGTTTTAGTTCAGCAACGTCCTAAGGACCACAGGTTATCCAGCATCTATTTTCTTCTATTCCATGAGATAGAAAAGATCAGTACTGTACATTGGTCCATTTCACATGTACTCTAACTCTAAACTCTGGTTTAATACTATGAGCAGGAGACATGGTTGTATGCTCCACCATATCTTCTCTTCCAGGGTATCTGCAAGAAGCTTTTGCTCCTCTGTTCAATGAACTATGTTTTTTTCCAAGAACTATGTCAACTGTGGTTTTGTAAAATAAGCAAGGAACAACAATCATTTGAAATTGATTTGTTGCACTAATCACATTTTGGGCTGATAGACACATTGTATTCAGTCATAGTGTGGTTTCTTTCTTGTTGGCTTAATATAACCCATGATTTACTTCTTAGTATGTAAAGTCACCCAAGCATGACCTAGTCATATTAGTATGTTTTTAAAAAAACTAGTTTAGGTCAGTGTGTGAACCCAGCCTTTGTAACAGGAAGGACCCAGCAAGAAAGAAGTTGCAAAGAGAACAAGTGCTTCCATGCCAAAGTTCATCCAGATTCATTCCAAAAGCATTAAACCAGAGTTCAGCGTTATGTGTTAAATATTGTTCTCATTTGTCAGTCATTTTTCCTTCTTCTAGAAGGCAGGACAGGGAAGAACAACAAGAAGAAAAGAATGAAGTCTCCTTGTTTTCCTTCTGTTTTTACTTACAAGTCTGAATTGCCAATGATGTTCTTTTGGGGGTATATCAACTTTACAGCCAACAGCTGCCAATAATAAGCTTACAATACAAGGCAAACAAGGGTGTGCTATACTGCTTCAGGATTCCTGGCACA